CTTTCACAATATTGTGTAATCACACACATTATCTTGTTGCAAAACATTTTCATTATCTCAAACAACCCTATACTCATTAAGTAGTCTTTCTCTCTCCCTTTCCTCAGTCACTATACCATATTTTGTTTACCCATTCATTAGTTGATGAACATTTGGTTTGTTTCCAAGGTTTGGATGATCTGAACAATGCTACTATGAAAATGTGCACATTTTACATGGATGGATGTTTCATGTCTCATGAGTCTCTACTGAGTTTTAGGGCAATCTTATTTTGGAACCATCAAGCTTTCCTGTAGGAGCTGCCACATTTTATATTACTATCAGTAAGAGCTCCATTAATTCTCTACATCTTAGGATGTGTTTTAGCAAGAGAGTGGGCCATACACTTAACCTCCAACCTGCATATAGATTAGTAATTATTCATGCTAACTTGCAAAAGAGTAATAATAGTAAATAGCAAAAGCACTATGTGCCGGGCATTGTTGTAAATGCCCAATATATATTCACACACTCCCTCATCAAAGACTTCATGTATTTCCAACTTAAACCACTTCCCTTTACCTCCAACATGGAGAAAACACATTAAACAATAAAAAGATAAGCTTTAGCGAAATCTGCGGTGGAAAAGATGACTTACAGAGAAAGGAACACACATATACTTCTTCTCAATAAGTTTTGGATACTTTTAAAGTCAACAGCTGTATCATAGTATTGTAAAAAGTTGGAAACATTAGTTATCTGTCTCAAATTCGTGGAGATGCATGAGGTTTTGGCAGAGAGGAACAAAGAGTCTTGAGTGCATATGAAGAAAATTCTACTTATGAAACAAATATAAAACTTCATGTGTAGTTATTTAGAAAAGCAGATTCAAGAATATTAACTCAAGGTGTTCAGGGTAAGGACCCACCCACCCATATGCATGCCAGCCTAAGAACGTGGAGTGAAAGTCCAACCTGCAGTCTACAAATCAATTGTGTTTTAGGTTCTCTAAAAGATACCAGATATGATACCTATTGTCTATAGACACTAGATATAATAATCTGCTACACAGAAATTCATACATCTCAGGATTTGATGATATAATTATTTTTGTTTGCATAATTAAATATTATTTCTTTAGGGAATTAACTTGGGATTATAAAAGGAAATTTACAAACAATTGGACTATTCAATAGAATTTGCTGAAGAAAAATTTATTCTTGTATTTTCAAAATCCTGAAAATACCTGAGCATTATGGGGGAGGAAGTTGAGGGGTGGCTAGAGTCTTGCTCCCTTAGCTTCCTTGCACAGCCCAGCACACTCACTACCTCCAAGTAGCTCCTGGAGCACTGCTGAAAATCCACTGATCAAAACTGTTACGTTTTAGATCTAAAATGGCCCCCAAAGTCTTATGTGTTTCAAAGGTGACTGGAGATAAGAGTAGTATAGCTGGCTTACTGTTGGAAGGTGGGGTCTGGTTAGAGGAGATGGTCACTGGGCACCTGGCCTGGAAGGGTTTATCTCTCTCCACAGCTCCTTCCCTCTCCATATGCTTCCTGTCACCATGCCGTGAGCAGTTCCCCTCCATCACTGGAGGCTGGGCTACCTTGGAGGCAGCCGACTATGGATGAAACATGAACCAAAATAAACCTCCCCTTTTTTAAGTTGTGGGTTGTCCCAGCAACCAGGGAAATAACTAAGACAACAACCTGAAGAAATTTCACCAGTAGTTCCCACTGTTGACCCATTTTACACATTTGCACACAAAACTTCTGAGGAAAGTACAAGCCGAACAGTTGTCATTACGAGAGGTCTAAAAGTGTATCAGAGGCTTAATATACAGTTTAAAATGTTTTTCTTTTTATAAATAGTTCCAGGTAAAATTTAATTACATTTTCCTATCTGTCCCAGACAATATAAAATTGACTATGTCCTTCCACAGCTAGCCTTTATGACCAAACTGTGGAGCTTACCTGAAGGTCATCACAAAGTTCTCCATGGGCCAGCCCAAGAGAAAGGACTTCCCAGCATGAGTGTGGCCTTCCTACTCATTGTCCACAGGGTCAGCCATCCACAGGCTGTGCAGTGTATTTAGTGTACTGGATTTGGTATACCTAGAAAGATAATTAAGCAAGATCTCAGTTAGTTTGTTTCTTAACTTTGAGAACGGCTGTGCTGATGCTAGAACACCAGTTCTTCCAGTCCAGAGCAGAGCATGCCTCACTGATCTCTGTCACCTTGGTGGCACAGCTCAGTAGAGAGCTAGATGGGTCTTAGCAAAGGGTGCACTAAATGAAGCCAGCTAGAAAGGTGTGGGCTCAATTTATCAATGGCAACAAACAGCTGGAGACTGTCTGGGCTACTTCTGTAAAGGTTGAATATTCAATATGGACCGTACTCTGTATTTTAAAGACACTCCTTTTTTAAAGAAATATTAATTCATTTATTCCCTATGTCTTGACTACTTAACTATATATATATATATATATATATATATATATATATATATATATATATATGTGGGGCTGAACAAAGATTTAAAAGTGCATGATTTATGTAAGCATGGTTTTTCTTCACACGGATAAAAATACATAACCTTAAATTAGAAAGACATAAAGTACATTTCAACTTTACTTTTATAAGATTTTTATCATCATTAGAAAGCAGGTTAAATTTCCTTTCTTAGGATTTTGTTCATAACATATTCCCATGGATTCTGGTTAAACTTAAAAACTGTATCCTACACCAGATCGGCTTTTTAAGGTGTGTTCAGTGCCCAGTTCTCTCTGTTGAGTTGGAGGGTGATCAATTTTGTCAGCAGTGACAGTTTCTGCTTATTCCACCTTAGACCTAGAAGGTCCTACATTTCTTGGATGTAGAAATTGCCACATCTCTTGGCTTAATTTACAAACTGAATGCTCAAGTTGACCTGAGATTTACCACATTCTAAGTCCTTTAAAGGATATCAAGGGAACATGGACACAGAATCCTGGAATCCTCTATGATTCTGAACCACTACAGCTAAATGCCACCCAGCAGACCTCACGTGGAAATAGGAAAATACCCAATTCATGGGGAAAATAAGGCTAAACTCTTCAACAAGATTTATGAAATGAAGATAATTTTGCAGGAACTACATGTGAAAGATAATCTGGATTTATAGTGAATGGCACATTGGATATAAGAATAACAAAAAAGTGCCTGTGATATAAAGTGCCATCTCTGTATTTTAATTTTCTTTTGACCGCATGACTTTGTATTTGGGAGATGTTTATGAGACACAAGCAATTATTAGATAAAATCATTTTTCTAGATAGCAACTCTAAAGATTCTATCAAACTAAAAATACACTGCCAATTAGAAATACAGACACACACCTGATTTTAGAGATTGTTTAATTTTTCTAATTAAGTATCTATATGTATCGACATTTATGAAACTGCGTGGAAACTGTCACACTGAAAGTCATTTCAATAATTATCCATTTAGTTCAATAAAGTGTTAAGATTATCTACAATCTTAAAATCAAACCAAGGAAATTATATAAAAGCTAAAGGCATGCTTTCCATTCTATAATGTTTATAGAACATTGGGCACCTGCCTTATGCTAAGCAATCATCTAAATATTTTAGGGACATTATTTCACTTCATCATCAAATAACTACACCAAATAATCTCTAATGGCCCTTTCTTATAGATAAAGATACTCACAGAGAAAGGACAACTAACTGCTGAACGCAACAGAGAGTGGGTTTGAACCCAGGCAGCCTGACAACCAGCCTTGGCTCAGAACCACTGGGCAGCCACGGGCGCTGACTTACCTGCTCAAGCTCCTGCCTGGGAGAACAGCTCCATGACAGGACCCCTCATCTCCCCACCCATAGCCTCCTTTCTCCTCCCTGAGCCATCGACTTTTCTGATGGCACTATTCTTCAACTTTGGAAATGTAGGGATGAATCTCATGGATTGTATCGACAAAGCCAGATACTGCCTCAGAAATACTTCAAATGTATTGCAACATACCTCTGTACTCAAATGGCTTGTCTTAGGATCCCCACTGTGTTTCCTCGCTTTCCATCACTGGCTCTGTTTGATTACTTCAGTAAATATGAGAAAGAGTGAGTCTAAACTGTCTCAAAGGAGGAGGAAGAGGAGAAGGAAGAAGAGGGAAGATGAGGAGGGAAAAGCAGAGGAGAAAGGAGGGAAAGGGAAAGAGGAGGAAGATCATCTACCTCAGGCTTTATTTCACATGAAAAGTTCAGTGACCCTTGGAAATTTATAATATTTTAAAGTGACTTCCCTTAGATGCTCCGGAGTAAGTGTCATGGTAGATTCCATAAATATTTGTTTGTAAATTCACTAACATCTTCATCTTTTGACCTAAGCAAAATTCACTTTCTAATATTCCCAATGGATATAGAAAGTATATCAAAACACAATTTTGGGAACTGATTTTCTGAAATAAGAACATGATTCAATAAACTGATACAAAATTTGTAACATAAAAACCTCTAGCTGGGCACAGTGGTGCACATCTGTAATCTTAGCATTCTGGGAGCCTGAGGCAGGAGGATCATAAATCTGAGTTCCACTTAGACAATTTAGTGAATAAGTGAGAGAGACCCTGTCTCAAAATACAAAGAAGGGCTTGGGATGTAGCTCAGTGCCAAGTCCCTGAGTTCAATCCCCAAAACTGAAAAATAAACAAACAAACAAAAACCCTTTTGAGTAATTATCTTAAAAGTAGTATGTGAAAAATTAAACTTTTGCACACCTTTTAGAATAATGGGCCAATCAAAATGAAATTCAGTTCTTGAATAGATTCAACATAGCAAAAGGAAAATCTTTATATAAAATATTTTAAGCACAACATTGTGGTTTCTATAAAACTCAAGTTGTTAACAGTATTGGGGATAATATGTGGCTTCTAGCAAAAAAAAAAAAAGGTCTACTGTCCCTAAATATTATAATTACAAAGGTTAAAAAAAACAAAGAGAAGGAAAACACAGTTCCCCTAAGACTGGAGGGTGCACTGTCATGTATCTCTCAGGCTGAACCCTGAGAGGTGCGATGTACTGTAGTGTTGGGGTCAGGCTGGCCTGGACTTGAGGTCCTCCCTGCAATTTCCCAGGGCATCCACTTGTGCCACATTTTTTTTAGCCTTTTTCAGCTTCTGTTTCATATATAAAACCTGAAGAGGATAATAATACCTGCCTTGGACAGCTGCTGGGAAAGTTACACGAGACACCTATGATGCTCCTAGTATGGTCCTAAGAACCCCTCCAATAAATTTCAATTTCCTATACTTTCTTTGGTTAAATAAAGAGAATGGTATAGAATCTAAAGTTTTTAAAACCACGACTTGTCCTTGGACAGTGGCTATGGCAGAGCACTTCATGTAGACTGCATGCAGTGCTTTGACAATCTTTCTCTCTGTCCTCCCTGGGATATCTTCTCTGCTACAGCTATATCTGCAGGCAAGTTCTCCACTAAACACTTTATTATCGTATCTTTGCCTCTACTTTTTTGGATGGATGGAGTTCTCATTAATTTCTCCATTCACTAAGCAGTATATTTCATTTTTCACTGGATTCCAAGCAGAAGGGAGTTAAGTCATTTACTTACCACAAAGAAAAAGTCAGTTTCAGTGATGAGATAGAATCTAAATGGCTATGGAATCCTCAGTGAAATCCAAAAGGAAAGAAATGATAGAGGCAGCAGCACCACATGTTGGATAAATGCTTGTGCTTTAATATAAACAGATCTAGTTTTGAATGTGGACTCCATTAACTATTAGTGCAGTGACTAGATGGAGGAAGCCATTAGACCTCTGAATACCAAGGCTCTGTCTAAAACAAAGAAAATAGGGCAGATGTAAGGGATGGACAAGACGAGGTATAAACAAGGTTTAGCATAATTCCTCACAGGTAATATGTCCCTGATAAATCATACCTGTTATCATTGTCACTCATATTAAATACACAATTTTGTAAAATCAGTGCTTTGTCTTGCATGTCATCTATGACACAGAATAGCTCAGAGACAGAGGGAGGAAAACAGTTTTATTTTTCTCTAGTGACTAAAAACTTTCTGGATGAGATTTTATTGGCTGAAATATTCTTTGTCTTTCATGGTATTTCAGAAATAATGAAAACAGAGGTGGAACAAATAAATAGCCAGGCCAGTAAATTCTTTCCATCTCCATGTCTTCAGACTCCAATCACCATTTTTTAAGCTGAGTACTAGTTGTATTTGCACTCAAAGTTGAGAGGAAAGTGTACCAAGTGGGTTTTGTAACCAACACATATTCCAAATCTTTCTCCTCCATCCTTCATTTTCACAGCTCCTTCCAAGATGGATAACCAGAAATAATATTCACTGGTTATCAGGAATACTGCCTCACTTAGCTAGTAATCCTACTTCTACTATTGCCTGCCCTCCAATCCATTATCTAAAAATAGCAAGAACAGTACATAATACATTGATATGGTCACTTCTCTAGGTAAAAACCCTACAGAATAATAAATATCCCAACCTCTATCAAGAAGCTGTGTTATCAGATCCCTGACAAATTCTCCAGCTTCCTATCAGCCTTCCCTCCAAAGGCCACACTGTTCCCACCTCAGGCCTCCTGTCCCCTTGGCCTAGTCTAGGAATGGTGGCTGCTTCTCATGACACAGGCCAAGTTTTAATGTCTTACCTCAGAAGGGTGCTGTTAGATGACCTCTCTCAAACACTGACCCATCTTCCATCTACATGGCACCTAGCTTATCAAAAGCACTGATTATATGAAATTTTCCCTCTTATTTTATGCTATCTTTAAGCCCCAGGTAAAAGGGTCCCTGCATGTCACATTCTTGAGTCTATTCTCGACAGGGACCCAGCATAGAACAGGATACCCATGCATTACTATTAAACAAGTGAAGATTCAAAACATTTGCAAAAACAACACAAAAAAGAAGAAAAACATGTAATGCATTTTATGATACTCAGGAGAGTGTGTAGTGCATATGTACTGGGGCCTCGACACCAACAAAATGTCACGGAACCAGAAGAGGTGCCATTTCTTCTTCTTCAGCCTCTAAGTTTCATGAGGCTACAGATCAGCAGAGTTCAGCTGGCATCCCCTCTGAGGATGTGTTTTCCATCTGGAAGTAAAGCTTTTACCTGCTCCACATCAAATACCATGAAACAGCTAGGTGACACAATGCTAAAAATTATAGTTTCAATTTTCCAAACAAGGGTCCATCACTTAAATTCAGGGGTCATTTGTTTACAGCTGTAAGAGGTGGAAGATGACTACTGAGAACTGATCATTGGGTTTAGCAATGTGGTGTCACTGGAGTAATGGTTGTGCAATGATGCTCGGAGGAATGCTAGTTTTGAAGATTGTGGTAGCACAACAGCCATCCCTTCACATCAAGATCCTCACACCCTAATCCCTGCAACCCATGAATATGTCATGTAGCAAAAGAGAGTTTGCAGATGTGATTAATGTTATAAATTTCAAAACCTAGAGGAATTCCGCTAATCACATGAGACATTAATATTAGAGAATATATTCAGATTGAGCCAGAGAGATTCTGTAGAAGAAAAAATTAGATAGAAAGTGTTAGACTCGACCTATTGCTGGCAGGAGCCACATAGAAAGCATGAGCAGGAATACAGCTCGACCCTAGGAGTAAAAACCAGCTCCCAGGTGATAGGCCCTCAATACCACAATCTCAAGTAAATGAATTCAGTAAAAAAATTGAATGAGTGCACAAGGAGGTTTTCTCAGTCTCCAGCAGGGAATGCTACCTGGCTGACATGTTGGTCAGTCTTCTAAGACCCTAAGCAGAGGACCCAGAAAAGCACATCCTGGATTCTGACCGACAGAAGAACAGCATAAAAAAATTCATGTTGTTTTAAGCCACTACATTTATGAAGATTTGTTTTAGCTGTGTATAAAAAAATGAATACAGATTTTGCTTCCTGAAAGTAGGTGCTGCTACAATAAACACCTAACAATGTGGAAGCAGCTTTGGAATCAGCCAGCAGTACAGGAAAACTGCAAGAATTCTGAGGGACATGACAGGGAAAAAGCCTAACTTGTCTTCAACAAACTTCTAGCAGAAATATGGACATTAAAAACTCAGCTATGACAGCTCCAAAGCCCAGTGGAGCATTACAGAAAAAATCTACCATACTTTAGAGGAGATCTAAATCTCCACAAACTAACTGTTGGAAGAAATATGGATTCCAAAGTCGCTGCTGATGAAGACTCAGAAGAAACATGTGAAAACCAGAGAGAGGGAAATTCCTATTATAAGTGGGCAAAACTGTGTCCTGTAGTTATGCAGAAAACAAACCTTTTTAATGGTGAACTTTGATAAATATGTGAAGAGATTTCTAACTAAAGTACTGGAAGGGTGGCTTTTTATATTTGTTGTTTTTTTCTCATAGTTAAATGGGAAGCGAGAAAGATAAATTGACAAGAGTTGTTAAACAAAAGAGCACCAGATCTTGATCTTGATGATCTGGGAGATTTTCAGCCTGTCTAGATGCAAGAGGTGCTAAAATTAAGAGGGTGCTTCAGAAAAGTGTGGCACAAAGAAAAGGCTGTGTGGTGGTGTAACTTGTTACTAAAACTTCAGAAAGGTGAAGAGATGAGAGTATTCAGACACACAAAGAGCTCTTTAAAGAGAGTAAAGGAATGTTTCACAGATAATCCTGAATCTAACTAGTAAGCCTCTAAAAAGCTCAAGGGCCCATATTGCCCTCAGCCACGACACAGGAAACTGAAACACAGATGGAATTACCTCATTAATATTGGTGGACTTGCGGGCCTAGTCCGGACTCGGCGCCGCTGCCATATTCCCGTGGTGTGTCTTTTACTTTGTCCCTTCTCCGGGTGCCAGATCGTCCTTCCTGAGCCATGTCAGAAGGAGTGGACCTCATCGATATCTGCGCGGACAAAGAGTTCAAACAGCACCATTCTACTTGTGCAAGCTGGTTCTTCCCATTGGTCTTCCAATGGGTGCACGTAAGGATCTGGAAAGAGCATGAAAAGAACGGACTAGAGAAGGAGAGTTCCCCGGTTGGACACCGACGTCTATATGACCCAACAAAGGAGGCTCATACGTATCTTCTCTTTTTTCTTCCCTCTAATTGGCCTAAGTGTAGGTTTTAAAAAGCATAAGTATTTGATTTGTCACTGTTGAGATTTAAAGCAACACAGAAGTAGAGCAGTGGAATAATCTTGTACCATTGTACAGCTCTACTAGTTAATCCTTTTCTCTGGCGCTGGTAATTGAATTCACAGCCTTGCACATGTTAAGCCCAAGCTCCAACACTGATACATCCCCAGGCTCTGATTATACTTTTTAATAGAAGTTTTCCCACATCTCCTGCTAAAATGTAGAGTTATCTACATATGGCTACTAATTGTCTTAAATACATGAGAAAATTTTTAAGATGTCCAAGAAGCCAAATTATGGCCAAGAGAGAAAGGTTGCATATGTTAATTTAGTTATAAATCCGTTACTTTCCTGAGTTTTACACAGTTCCTTGAATCAGACTTTTGATACCTTTTGTAAATTATGGGCTTGTGTTTTGTTTTGTTTCTTAACAAGAAAAGGCT